CATACTTTTCCATCGTTGCGCTTTTGGAGCAAGAAGTGCCTCCGCCCAGCTCAAGAGAATGGAATCTTGAAAGTTTGTCATGTTAATCATTTTCACACCTCCGTTTTCAAGCTCGTTACACATAACCTTCCGTTTAACTTTTTCAAAGGTCTTTTTGTTGTTAAAACGCTTTGTCCACAAAAATCTAAAATAAATTCTACTCACATGGCTCAGGACATCTTCTGGTAACGATTGGCTTTGCATTACAAAAAGAAACTGCGTTATTCCAAACGTTTTAATTGAGTGCATTTTCCCTAGAATTTAAAGATCTCTTCTTGCCCATTTTCCAGAAATTCTGAGGAGGGTATCGATCCTGGACTTCCAGTTTTCCTTTAGGTCTTCCGCCTGTTTTGTTCTGCCAAAATATACTCCAAGAATGTCCATGGTTGGAACAAACTGAATCGGACATTCTTCTTTTGGTAACGGCTGGGCCTTTTGTTCACGCGGCGTGAGATTTATTCACATTTAAAGGAAGATCTGAAATATCCCAAAAGTCATTCAGAACGGACATGGCTCTTCTCAAATTATCGGCATTCCTTAGGATAAGGTTGTGTCATCTGCATACTGACTAATTTTACTAGACTCCAAACCCGGATAGATCTAGGTGTTGATACCACTTATGGTATTGTTCGGGATTACGTTTTGGGCTAAAATGTCTCAGCAAGAATAAATAGTTGTGGTGGGATCGGACAGCCTTGTGGAACACCGTTACTCATTGGAAATGTCCTCGAGACATAACCTCCATGTTTTACACCCAAGAGTCTTTCTGTATTTAATATTTCAATCCACTTTCAAAAGTTGGGCTCAAAGCCAAATACATCTAGGCTTTTAGAGGATACAGTGAGTGTTTATAGGATCAAATGCCTGTTTGAAATCTACCGTAAAAATTATTTCTGTTGAATTGAATCTGTGGTCTTGTGTCTGTGTCTGTATCATCAATCTCTCTGTGAATTATATATATATATATA